ATATGAGCTCCGATCTGTTCGAACCGTCTTCAAATCGACCATTTTTTTAAAGGACCAACCGGTTTTAGGTTCGACTTGCAATAAGTAAATTGAGATCGAGATTATATTGCAATTACCCAAAGATTGAGATAAAATTGTCAAACGCAAAAAGGTTAAGGTTTATTTAGAAATTAACCCTTTTTAAAATTTTCCAAAACATGTACTAACCCGTGCATAGCACGGGTTACATACTAGTTCATTTCTTGTTTTAACTAATAGATTATCTCCAGCAATTAGAATTTTTTTTTAACTGATAGATTATCTCCAGCAATTAATGATCCACTTGTGTGCTATTTCTCTATATAGAAGGTAATTAACGAAATTAGCGGGAAAGTGTTTTTAAAGGTGAATTATATTAATTCTTATTATATATTAATAAATAGATGACTACGATCTATTTTGATTTCTTTCACTGAATACATTTCTCACCGGAGCGAATTATATATATATATATATATATATATATATATATATATATATGTTCTTTTTATTAATATAATTAACATTACATAGAAACAAAGCAAATTTATTAAGCTCTGACAGAAGTTTCCACTGCAACCCCTTTGAAACTTGATTCAGACACCTTATCAGCTTCCCAAAGCTCAGGAATTGCTTCCTTCAGATTATGTATGCTTTCTATTGCATAGTCTGCTCCTTTAACTCTCTGTGATTTTCCAATCTGCCACAGCCTCAAATTATAAGTTTTGTAGTGATATTTTCGACAAAAAGAAAAAAAAACTCACCAGCACTGTGTCCAATCCGACGCGTTTTCCAGAAAGAATGTTTCGAACACTATCCTCGAAAAACAGCTGCAACGAACAAAACGGTATACCGAGTCAAGAATGTTTTGTAATAAGGTACAAATTAATGCAAAAATGTCACAAATGCAGAACAAATATCAAAAGAAACTCACTGTTCTGCGTGGATCGATGTTGGCGATTTTGAGCGCGGTTTCAATAGCATATTCCGAAGGCTTGCACACAATCGGTGTCTTTGGCAACAGCCCGGACGGGTCCACGTTACTGAGCCGAGAAAAGTGCCCAATAATGTCGAATATCTCACGGCCCGTGTTCGAAGGACTATGAGTCGGGTTAAGCGTCTCGAAGCATATTATCCCTTCGAAACAGTCCTCCAAACCGAGTCGGTTCAAGACTTTCACAGAGTGGACTTTGTCGGCATTTGTGAAGATCTGTTTTGTTTTACGAGACAATGGAAAAAACACGCTGATTATTATCATTCGGGAGAACGAGTTTTTCGGTCAAGAAACCAACCGGGACAGAGCTCGTAAATGTACTTACGACTTTTCGAACAGGCAAGCTCAACAAGAGGCTTCGTAAGACAGGGTCCGGTTTTAGATTTTCGTAAGGCAACCGCCCGTGAACGAAGCTGAAAACATGCCGAAATTCGGACGTGTAAGTAATGTTCATAAGTCCATTTTAAATTTATATATTTAAGTTATTTAGGGGCCGATTGGCTACAGATTAAAGTCTGTTTTGACTGGTTAGAAAATTTTTGTACACTTTTTAACTAAAAATCAACTCAAACTCTTGTCATTATTATTAATATAATTAAATAATATCAGCTCACATATCAAATCATTCGTCTATTCAAATATTTTTAATTACTTGATCATTTTTAAATAATTTCTCTCCTACTTTTACTGTCAACTATAATTATTATTTCAAATTAACTCAACGAATGTTTCTCATCTAAGAATTGCTTCCGAACGATCTAACAAGCTTAACATCATAACAAAACTTCCTTCATCGATATATATAGCGAAATGACACGAACCTGTGGTACTCGTCGTAGTCAAAATCGTAGCCGATTGCCTGCATGACAAAATTCGTCATGATCCATATTTTCGAACACGAAAACCGAAGATGTGAGATGTCGTACGGCAGCCCGGCCCGTGGGACCAATGCAGGAACTCGGGCCGGGCCACATTTGGACAAGCTCGAAATTCGAATAAAAGCATAGAGGCTTACTTACCCTTAGACCTGCCATTGTGGTGCCATAGTTTTTGTAGAGAAGATCACATAACAGAGGAATTTTGCTCTGTTCAATACCCAATTTTTCAACCATATAATCTGTACCATAAATAAATAAATGAAAATAGAACATAAGTATTTACTGTTTATTCTTGGAAATTTTAAGTTATTTGCTAAAAAAATAGTGCAAAAAAAAAATAATAATAATAAAAAATAAATTAAAAATCAATGATAATATAATTACCTTGAATGTTGTTAAGAACAGAGTTTGCTAGGCCAGAACTTAGGGGGTAAAGTGTATCATCAAGATCTATATATGAAAACATAAAATAAAATTATTAAAAAAAATAAAAAAAAAAATATAGTAATAATTAAGTTTACTACATTAAATTGGTTTATAAATGATAATTAGCTGATTTGATTACCAAATAGAAGACAGTCATATTTTGGCCTCTGAACTTGTCTGTAGACATTATCCTCATATTCCATATTGATTAATTCTGAAAATTTTAAATGATTTATAAACCAAAAATAAAAAATTCAGATGAAAATATTAATGGAGATGAAAAAAAAAAAAAAAATGTGGCTTGAGATAATTTATTTTCACTTTTTTTTTTTTAGAGAGAGAGAGTTTAAATGGAAAGGAGAAGGGGAGGAGAATTGAAGGGCAGATCTGGAATTTAAATAGATGAACCCCTGCTTAATTTTCCCCAAAAAAAAAAAAATGATTTTTTTTGGTACAATTAATATTGAATATTTGATTTTTGACTGGTGGTGGCTTATGCGTATTGCAATTTTCTTTTACATGTTCCTTTTATATATTTATTCAAGTTACTATAATATTTAATATATAAATATGCTTGTTAGGCTATCTAATACTTTTCAATATTGTTGTATTAAGAAATAAATATAACACTAGTACAATACCTGTATACTACACGATTATTGAATTAAGAAATATTTACATCAAAGTATTTAAAGATAAACATAACATTTTATTTTAATTTTTTGGACGCTGTTGTCGTTTATTTTTCGTGATGTATAATCTCCTCACCCACTCAAATAAAAAAGATGGTATAAATAATTCATCTTATACAAGTATAAAAATATTAAGATGCGTGAATAAAATTGTTTATGCAATAAATAAACAATTCATTTCAACAGAAAGCTTTGTCAAAGATAGGGAAAGTGGATAACAAATAGAAACAAAATATATAAAATTCACTTTGTAATGTAAACTTAAATTTCAGCTTGTACATACAATTTCTTTTTGTCCAGCAAAAGGATTTGCATACTTGAGAATTAAATTCATGTATACAATTCATTTTGATTAATAAACTTAAATTTCATTTTGTCGATAAATTTATGGTGATGAAATATAGATTTATAAGGTAAGATGAAACAATTATTTATGGTTGATTCCAAGTCAATTAGGTTTCTAAAGTTTTTATCCGAAATTAAATACGAAGCAAGATATTTTGAAACATATAATTTTAAAGCGTGGGAGTCTGCTACTTAAACTCATCGCGTTTTGAATTAATATGTAGGGAATTTTTTTTTTAGAACGGATGACGACAATGATGATGATAATAATAATAATAATAATAATAATAATAATAATAATAATAAAAATAATAATAATAATATATTTTACATTGGAATAGCGACGAAAAGCGAAAATCAATGTAATTGCGTAGATATTATCATATGCTAAATGTAAAATATGTGGACGAACTTATTTTAAGGATCGTTTGACTTCATGATTCCTTTTGATTTCAAGAAGCTTATAAGCTAATCAAATAAGTTCTAAGTTAGATTATTAGTCTACCAAACATAGCTTTAATAATATAAGGGAAAAAATATTTTAAAGAAAAAGAAAATTCTTACAAATTCCATTTCTTTTATAAATTTGACACCTTGACACTCAAAATATATCAAAATTCCACTGCAAATTTAATAAATTTGATTAAAATCATGTTTTCCTACATTAATCACGAAACCAAATATAAATATGATATAAATCAATTAGCTGTCACTGATAGTACATTATCCTAATCCCACCAAGCAAACACTACATTAAATAACTCCATGAGAAACCTAATTTAATCATGTATAATTTATAATGGGCAATGCTATATGTACACCCTCCTTTAATAAATTACACAAAGGGCAATGCTATATGTACACCCCCCTTTAATAAATTACACAAAGGGCAATGCTATATGTACACCCCTTTTTTACACACAAGGGGGTGTACATATAGACACCCCCTTTATAATTCTGCAAAAATCTTGAAACTTCTGGTCATGAGATGCATTTTCTTACAAGTCCTGGAAACTGGAGATTTTTTTCTATGGGACATGTGGTGCTGACAAATGATGATGTACCTAATTGTAAGTGACTTGAACTAGAGGTGGCCAAATGTCAGGCCGGTTTATGGCCCGGCCCGCCAGGTCGACGGGCCTCATATGTTAGGCCCGTAATCGACCCGGCTAGTCATATATATGGGCCGGTTCAAGTGAACTGGATGAACGGTGAACCGTCTTACAACCCGTAGTCTGACCTGGCCCGGCTCGGACTGCCGGGTCCAGAAAAGAGAAATGAAGAACCGGGACTGGTCCGCATGGCCAAGGTTCCGGTTCAACGAACCGGCGAAATCGACCGATTCGGGCCTGTTCGGGACCAGTTTTGGGCCGGGGTGGAACCGGACATGCCTGACTTGAACTTAATGAAAACAAAATTATCAGAATTTATTTCAGAATATAACTACAAAATAGGTATAATACTTTTGTGTGTGTGTATGTCAGCCTGATATTTTGTTGGGTGATCCGTTATACTTTTACAAAATAATATTCATAATAAATAATATCATACTTATGTTTATATTGTTTTCAATATCACACTTATGTTTATATTATGTTTATATTATTTTCAAGCGTACAATATATACTTGAATGTGAAATGTGCATATTATTATAAATATATATATTATTGTCTAATTATTAGGTTTATAATGATAGTGGTAGGTATAATTATGTTATTATTAGGAGGTGTCTTTTACTAGTTTAGGTGTTGGATCCAATAATTTAGTTCAAATGTATAGTTCATAGGCCTTTTTTTTAATAATTGGGAATTTCTTGGAAAGGTCCCAAATGTAACATCAATTCATGGTTTTGGATTTTGAAATTGATTGAGTTTTGTCCTGTATAATTAAAGATCGATTTTGTTATGAAGTCAACAGTTGGGTGGAGTCAATCTTCTATATATCACAAGTAAACTTACCATATTCTTTGATTATTTTAATAACATTAATAAAATTTTATTAATACGGTAGTTATTTGTTGTATATAGAAGGTTGATTCTACTATGAAGCCAATTGTTGGCTTCGTAGCAAAACTGTTACAAAACCTATCATATAGAGTTGATAAAAAAAAAATTAGAAAATCCTATTAATGCAGCTTATTTTCCTTTTAGGTTATTGGACTTAAAAATTATTTTTTTTAGATGATCTTACATAAGTTGTGTAGACAATGCAAGAGTATTTTCTTGATAATTAATCCAAAGTTCTGCCAATAGTAAATTTAATAAAAGTAATGAATTTGAATAGCTGGGCAAAAATGAGTGTGGACTTCTGATGTAGGGAAGTGTACGAGTGTGACGATAAATTGAGAACAGTCTCAAAATACAAAGAATAATATTATTTTTTTATTCATTAATTAACCATCCATCAAAGTCACGGGGTTGAACAATATATAATAATCCTAATCTTAATCTCCTAAACTTGCCCAACAAGCTAGATAATTATTTACTTGTCCACTAAGCAAGTAATTATTCTCTTACCAATTAACTAATAATCATAAAAAGAATAATAATAATAATAATAATAAGGGCAACTTCTCATTAAATCCCTACTCCCTTTTTCATTTTCCTATTCAGTCCCTAACATGTTTTTTTGCCTCTGCACTCCCTACCCCCTTAATTTTGTTCCTCTTAAATCCCTACTCTTAAAATAAATCAAAAATAAACTAAATAATGTTACATCATCCCACTACACAATATTTTATTATTACTTTTTTATACCAACTATCTCCAACAAATAATATTTTATTTTGTATCTTCTTCCTCACACCATCTAACTCCCTCCCTCCCGTGTCCCTCCCTCCGACAATTTTTTTTTTTTTTTTTTTTT